ATCACAGCTAGGCTGCTGGTATTGTGCAAGGGAGAGTTGCCGTGACAGCTGCTCCCCGTGTCGGGAGACATTCTAAAATCGAATAAACGGGATGTCAGCAGATGCATAAAAAACCCTACCTGTGAAGGTAACTCTCAGGTGAGTCAGTGCTGGTGGGAGACCCTCCTTACCCCTCTGAGTCTTCCTGGCCCAGCTCCCCTGTTAAAATCAACGTCTCATTTTCTGTTTGGGATGATGGTATGTTGTAGACATTTGGGTGGCTAAAGTTAGGCACTTAATTCCACAGTAAGGCGCCTCGATCAACACGGCCTGACTTTCAGACTGTCATTTAGATTCCTTACATATGGATTTTGGTGCCTCGCTTCAGGCACCCACGTCTGAAAACGTTGCCCTGAGCTTCTCCAGAGCCTGAAAAAGACTTTGCATGGTATTAATAAACGAGCCAAAGAGATATACCGGGATCTCGCCGCCTGTCTGTGAAATGCAGTTGCCTCTGGGGTGGAACACAGCAGCTATTTAACAGCAAACAGCAACACGGCATTACAGGTTAGAGCATAATATAAAGAAGGAGATTATATCCCAGGAGACAGAATTTGCTTTCCCAAGTTAGGATTGAGCCAGCACAGCAGGGCCAATACCCCAAGGGCGTGGCTATATGTAAAGTTATACTGGTCTAATTTATGGTACTAAACCAGTGCAACAGTTCTCTAAGTGTGGACACTTACTTTGGTTGGAGCATAGATTCATTTGGTTGAGTGGAAATAAGGACCAGGCTTAAGCTAAGTCTTAATAAGCCACTCCTAAATGGAACTGAGAGTGTCCACACAGGGGTTGGCGCTGCTTCATTAAACTGGTTCAAGTTTGTGTGTAGGGAAGTCTCTACTCTTATGAAAAGTTCCGTGGCATCTCGAATGAGAGCTAAGTAGTGTCCCGTGGAAGTCCAGGTTGCTACACCCTACATCCACTTCCAGCCACCACCCGTGTTTGGTATACCTTTCCCATATGGTTTCTTGATTTCTCTGTGTGTGTATTTCTTCAGGATGCAGCAGGCTGCTTCCTTGCCAAGGTTGTTCCCAAACTTACTCTTGGCAAAGGAGGGCAATTTTATTATTTGTGGGGAGATGCTGGTGCAGTTTGCAGGGAGGAGGAGTGGGTTGGAGAAGAGATGTCCCACAGTTGTTTCCGAAGAGGTAGCACAGGCCCATCAGGCTCAAAAGCCACATTGCATTTCTTCACGTGTCTCAGGGAAACACAAACTTCAGGGAGGTGTGAAATCCAGAGCTGGCCAAAATAAGGACTTTCTGTCCCATGGGAAATTCTGCGATTTCAGAATTTGGATTCATAGCAACTTGGGGGGGGGAGGAGTCAGATTTTTTTCACAAAACAAATTCATGTTGATCTTATTGAAATGTTTCCTTTTGATTAGTGTGTTCAACTGTAATCTATGGTACAGAGCAACAAGTCGAAACATTTCAATCTTGTCAGAACAAAACGTTTTTAGACTTTAGACAAAAGTGATACCTTCCCATGCAATGTTTCGATTTTATGGAATCAGCATTTTCTGATGGCAAATTTTCCACCAGTTCTGGTCAGATCCCTGGGTCTCTCCAGGAGACACATTTCATACCAGCGAATGCCAGAGCAATGGTAAGGTTCCCTCCCGTCTAAACTGGTCTCTAGATCGGCACGCTGGAGGTGGATGGATTGAGAACACCCGTGCTACTGTTGTTGGGTAGCCCATCAAATACATGGACCATGAAGTCCTGAATCTTCAAGGGTCTAGCATCACTTTATGACATGATCAGAGGCTCAGGGTTGAACTGGACGAATAACATTTATTATGATTGTTATTGGTTCAGAGTAGCAGCCGTGTTCGTCTGTATTCGCAAAAAGAAAAGGAGGACTTGTGGCACCTTAGAGACTAACCAATTTATTTGCGCATAAGCTTTCATGAGCTACAGCTCACTTCATCAGATGCATTATTTGCATTACAGCAGTGTCTAGCTCGATAAAGCCCCTATTGTGCCAGGTGCAGTACATACCCATAGGAAGAGACAATCCCTGCCCCAAAGAGCTTACAGTCTAAATAGCTGACACAAAGGGTGGGAGGGGAAAAGGTGGGGAAACTTGTGCTAGCCGGGGGCAATGTCTGGACTTAAACCCACCTCTCCTGAGTTCCAGCCCATTGGTCTAGCCACTGGACCCTACTGCCACTCGGAGCAAAGGCCGTATTCTCTTCTCCCCTTCCAAGGAGAGGGCAGTCTCCTCTGAGCTTCCTTTTTACCCCAAGCAAAGGGGTGTCCATCTAGGGCAGAGATAAAGGCTATTGGTGTTGGTCAAGGTGGGGGAGGCTCTTCATTGAATGAGCAGGAAGGCTAAGGTGGGAGTGAAACCCAACTGATTTCTGACAGAGCTGGCTCGATCTTAGCTCCGCATCTGGTCCCTTTTCCCATAGTACCTGACCATCTCCAATGTATTTGCCTTCACCACACCCCAGCCAGGGTAGGAAAGTGGGATGATCCCCATTTTACAGAGGGGGACCTGAAGCCCAGAGAGATAGAGAGACTAAGCGACTTGCTGCAGGTCACACACAAGAAGCCAACGGCAGAGCAGAGATCTGGACGCGGCTCTGCCAATTTGCAGCCTAGCCCCCAGGCCAGCTTTCCTCTCCAGCCACTGACGTGAGTCGATACCCAAGGAACTGTTTCTAGCAGGTGTTGGAATTGGCTTCTGAGAGCAGGATTGTGCCTTAGCTGTCAGCACGCTGTAAAGAAATAATTGACACGCCCCCGCCTTTCCCCTCTTCCGCGCCTCTCAATACTTTATGAAAGAGATGAAGCAGGTCAGAAAGAGACAAACTTTGGAGTTTCTGACGAGCTCTTCTTCAGCTCTGAGTATGCTCGAAAGCCTGTCTCTCCCCTTCCACCAACAAAAGCTGGTCCATTGCAAGATCTGACCTCACTCCCCTGGTCTCGCTAATATCCTAGGACCCACACGGCTATGCTCACTCGGAATCATACTTTAATAACACAGCCAGAGCGTGGAGCAGACGACATGCTGGTTCCACGGGTGCCATAGCAGGTGGCGACCCTACAGAAACATGTGGATATATTGCAACATGCGTAACAGAACCATAAAAAAAGGACCTTGCAATTGACTCATTGCCACCAGAGCAAGCCCATTGGCTTTGGCCCTCGGTGGAATGCAGGGTATACTTGAGTCTGTGCAAGAGGGAATCAAATATATACACTAGGCCAGATCCTCAGCTGGTGTAAATTTGGCGTGCCCCCACTGACTTCAATGGGACAATGCTGATGTACGCCAGCTGGGGATCTAGCTAATTAAGTGTAAAGCGACATCATAAGTTATGAAATATATATATATATATATATATATATATATATATATATAATGCTGATTATTTTCTTTAAATGACAACCAATAAACATCCCAGAACAAATAACAACTAACCCCCCACCCCCCGTCGATGCTTGTCTTTTACAGTCGCTTTGGGTTTTTCATAGCCTCCAGGAGCTCTGAGGATGACGTTCTCCCTCGTGCACTGTGTCTAATTCAGCATGCTTAAGTGAACTTCGAATGGTGTCGCGCCTTGTGCTGCTTCTCTGAAGGGTGCAGAGATCAGCCCTGAAAGGCTACGTTAACAGCCAGCATGCAGTGAGATTTCCTATGGCAACTGCATGAGCACCCAGCCATACAAGGGGCTGGGTTGAGGCATCTAATAGAGGAGAATTCGGCACCTTGCCGAATTGGGCTCCTCGACCCACCACGAGCCGCAAGTAAAACTGACCCATCTAGCTTTACTGTCCAATTGAGAAGAGTGCACCTGTCCCACCTCCCCCAAACCAGGAGGGATGGCCATTATCAAGCAACACAGAGAAGGACACTTACAAACGTATGGGTTTCTTTTAAAATCTCTATTACACTAGGATAAACCTGCTGTTTAAATTATTGGAGTCATTCTGGGTTTATGCGAGTGGAAATGAGATTAAAGACAGGCCCTCACGCCATTGACCCAGCTGAAGTAAACCTGTTTTTACAGCACTGTAATTCAGATCAGAATCTGGGCCAAACTCCTTTGAAGTCAGCAGAGTTGCTCCGGATTTACACCAGCATACCTGAGGTCACGATTATTTTATTTTATTTTTAAAGGACACCATCAAGATAAAGTTCCCGCCGGCAACAGGAAAAAACCCTTTGATTGAGGATTCTGGGACTACACAACCATTTCCCCTGAGCAGCCAGAATGCCAGTGGTGAAACGTCACCAAACACAGCCTCTGCCAAGTCATGTGGCTGAGAACGTTCGTACGCACCACTTCATCAGCCGGTGAAAGAGACCCTAACGCAAATCCGCACAAACCAAAGAACGAAAGCAAGAAGGAAAGCGAGAAACCTTTTGGTAATACTGGTAAAATAACTAATAATACTTAGCTCTTAGCTAGCACTGTGATCTCAAACCGCTCTGCAAAGGAGGTCAGTAGCATTATCCTCATTTCACAGATGGGGAAACTGAGGCATATGGAGGGACATAGCTCACCCAGCAGAATCAGGAATAGAACCCAGGTTTCCTGAGTCCAGCTCTACCCACTAGGCTCCCGCGTGCTACCTTCCGCTATGCTGCTACTATCCTTCAGTTTACCATCGTTGGAGCCTAAGTAATAACACTTTCTCCTTCTGCGGAGCTTTCTGTTTGAAGATCTCAAAGCACATCAATGAATTAAGCCTTACAAGCCCCACCTCAGGGAGGTAGGATCAGGATGAGTTTGTCAGCACTGGCTTGAGAATTGGGCACGTTCAAAGAGCGTTCTGCCAGGATGGGGGTCCCGCTTCTAACCAGTTGGAGATGGGAAGACGTAAACGCTGGGAAGAGCTGGTTTGAAGTTGATTCCCATTCTTGGCCCCGCAGACGTTGGCAAGAATTGGGCTTCAGGAGAAAGCATTCTGGTCTCGTTCAGGCGCAGCTGCCAACCTGTCCAGCATCTATTCCGCAGGGATTGACTCCTCATGGCTGTGTTCTTCATCAGACAGCAAGCGATGCTTCGGACGTGCCCCACTGGGCTGTCCTTCTGCATCCCAACTTGCTGAGCCGCTGCTCTGGCTCCTGGTGGGGACGGCTTCTGCCACTGCTCCATTTCGGGTCACCCCATCGGTAGAATTGCCCCTCACTCGAGAAGCCAGCTGGGAAGACCCCGAGAAGCTGGAGATGGATGAAACTGCAGGGAAAGGAGATGAGAGTAGTGGCTTGGCATTTATTTTTCCTACAGCTGCTGCTTTCATCAAGCTATAGTAATAAATGCTTACAGTGCCTTGGGCTGGAGTGGATGCTGCTGACGACAGGGCACGTCAGTGACTCCATGCTGGGAAGTAAAGACAGACGTTAAGAGGCTATGGAACACAGACAGTTTCAGACCCTTGTGCAAAGTGCCGCCCTCCCAAACAATGTTATACCCAGACACAGTGACCCAACTGTCCTCAGGGAGGTTAGATAGGTGGAAATGGATGTAGGACCTGATCCTGTGTACTGTCCCCACTTGAATGGGGTTACGTGGGTGGAGGTGAAGACAGAATTTGACACTCTACATAACAGAGTATTGCACATCCCCCTCCAGATCTACCAGCTGACCCGCGTACCCCCTTCCAGATCTACCAGCTGAGTTAGACTTGACAGTTGCTGGGCAACTGAACCCGCGCTGTACGGTGATTGGAGGTGAGGGCTCTGTACGTTAGTGTCTCTGTCTATCTGTGTTCTCACTGGTACATTTTGAAGTGAATTAATTCCCGCATTTTATATAACAAGTTCCCACAGAGTTTTAACGCTTTGTCTGAGTAGCCTATTTTGGAAATGCAACAAATTAATTAATAAAATCCACCACTGCACAATTTCTCCCGTGTGCCCTCCTCCCCACCCCGAGATGTCCCAGTTTGGGACCCCCTGCTCCGTGCTCCAATGGGTTTGCACAGGTGTAGCTGACTGCACAGCTTGGTCCCTTTGTGTTACCCCGCCACCTTCTGTGTTATGTCTGGAGATGCCTCCAAGCCAAAGAGTTCAGGTCCGGATGTGAACACGCCCACATCTGGGGCAGGAGGTTTCAGGCCCAGTGGTTTGGTTCGGCTGGCAGCCGAGACAAGGATGAGGCTCAGGATCTGCTTCTCCATTGACATGAAAGGACATTGGACCCGGCCTTCAAAGAGCCAGACGCACGTGCTAGGTGCCTGGTTTTCTCCTGGGAGGCTCACGCACGTCCTTTCCCCTGCACACGTCCGCCTGACCCACCTGCTCTCCTCGCCTTCCACCAGCTTCCTGTAGGTGAGGATCTCCACGTCCAGGGCCAGCTTGATGTTCATCAGCTCGTGATACTCCTTCACCAAGCCGGCCATGTCCACCTTGCCTTTCCGCAGGGCTTCCTGGAGCTCGGCCAGCTTGGCTTCAGCATCCTGGAGGGCGAGCTGGCCGTTTCCCCCGGCCTCTTTGATGCCACCTTCCAAATGCAGGCACTGGGGCAGCGAAGGGGAAGGGAAGCGCCGTTAGGTGGGCAGCGGGTGCTGAGCCAGATGGGCATCTCCCGCCCCCCAGCCCGTGACTAGGGTTCCTCACCCCTGGTTTTCTGCACAGGCTTTCTTGGCCTCAGTTGATCTCTGGGTGCTTTTCAGCCGGGAGCATAAATGAAGAGGTCTGGGGACTGCTGCTGCTGCAGTGGGTCTATGGGGGGGTGAGGTGGGGGTCTGAAGTGCTTGAGTTCCTACTTCTGCGAGACTCCCCACATTTTAGAAACAGCCAGATGGGCCAGCAGCTGTTTTCTCCAAGTGCTTTTTGCCTCCATCAACCTCCCTCCACCCGTAATATATCTTCCCCCCCTCCCCCAATAAGCGTTCTCCACCGACTTCCCCTCATATCACATCTGCCCCCACCTCCATCCGATCTTCCCCCATCACCTTCTCCCCAGCCCCACTCCCCCTCCAAAGCTCTTCCCCTCCACCCCCATAACACACATACCCCCTCCCACTCGTCCTCTATACCTCTCCCCCAACCCAACCCCCATGGCACCCCTTCCCTCACTCTCCCTCCATGATCCGCCCCCATGTCCACCCCATGACATCCCGCACCCGCACTCTCCCTCCATAACCCCCCACCCCAGAACATCCCCACCCCCTCCCTCCATAGCCCTCTCCAACCCCACCCCATAACATCCCCACCCCACTCCCTTCATAGCCCTCTCCCACCCCCATCCCATGACATCCCCACCCCCGCTCAATAGCCCTCTCCCACCCCCACCCTCCCTCCATAATCCTCTCCTATGACATTGCCCCCCAAAGCCCTCTCCCACCTCCATCCCCATGCTCCCCATCACACAAATCACTGGCAAATCACAGCCTCTCTCTCTGCCTCAGTTTCCCCTCCCACCCTTAGGCTATTTAGACTGTGAGCTCTTTGGGGCAGGGACTGTCTCCCTCTGTGTGTCTGTGCAATGCCTGGCAGGACAAGGCCCTGATCTCACTTGAGGCCTGTAAGTGCCGGAGTAACACAGAGAATAACAAGAGACTCCCCTGGCAGACTCATCCCAAGTGGGGAGTGATGGGTGTGCGTGGGCACCTGGCTCGGACCTGGGGGCGGCTGCCGTTTCTCTTGTGTTTCCAATGCCTGAGGCTCCCACTCTCCCAAGACCCCGGCCTTACCTGGCTCTTCAGGGACACGATGCAGGACCTCAGCTTCTGAATGTGTATGGTCAGCTCCGCAATCTCCCGCCGGCTGCTGAAGAGCTGGTCCCTGTACGTGGCGGAGTGGGTGGCTCCTTCGTTCAGCTGCAGGGAAGAGTTGAGATGGAGTCACCCCCTCCCCACCTTGCAGCCATGCCTGGGATTCTGCAGGGAGCTGGTCCCTCACGGGTGCCGGGTTCATAGAATATCAGGGTTGGAAGGGACCTCAGGAGGTCATCTAGTCCAACCCCCTGCTCACCAATCCCCAATTTTTGCCCATGACCCCTAAATGGCCCGCTCAAGGATTGAACTCACAGCCCTGGGTTTAGCAGGCCAATGCTCAAACCACTGAACTATCCCTCCGCCCAACCCTCTTGCCAGTTCAGAAACTGTCTAGCTCTTCCTTCTCTCTCACTTCCCCTTGCCCCCCCTTCTTTCTCCACCACCTCGCTGTTTATCTACCGCTCACCAATCCTCATGATTCCTAGGCTGGCTCTCTCCTGCTCCCCCGCACCAATGGCTTTGCGGCATGTCTCCCATGAGAGAGAGACGAGTACCTTGCTCCAGGTAAGGGCTTCTGCTTCCTCCCAGCTCCTGAAAGCGAGGGCTTCATACTGCGCCCTCACTTCCTCCACGATGTGGCTCAGGTCAAGGTTGCATCTGTTATCGATCCCCATGACGACTGAGATGTCCTTGATTTCCGCCAGCACCTCCTGAAGCTCCTGGATCGCAGGGAGGAGAGGAGAACTGAGCGGATACGTAGGAAGCAAGGTCACAGTCAGCTGTGCGTGGCCAGCCCAGTCCCTCCTGTACACCGCTGGGAGGTGGGAAGTTTTCATAAGTCAAGGCTCAGGTTTGCAAACCCCACCATGGAGTGGTTTGGCTCTGGTGTCCTGCTTAATTCAAACAGCCCCCCTCAGGGTTTGGGCTGGGGCTCAGAGCAGTGGCTGTGGGTTTGGCCATTGCTGGGATTTCAAATTCCCCCCGATCCTGGGCAAAATTGTATGCAGCACGATGTGCATGTTGGTTGATTTAGCAAGAGTTTGTGGTCATGTCAATACCCAGACACCATGCTCATATGCAGTGGGCACGTGGGGTAGGGCCAAGGGGGTGTGAATTAATCTGAGGGCTGTGGAACTCTTTGCCAGGGGATGCTGTGAAGGCCCCAAGTATATAAAAAGCTCACGGAGGATAGGTCCATCGATGGCTATTAGCCAAGATGGTCAGGGACCCAACCCCGTGCTCTCTAAGCCTCTGACTGCCAGAAGATGGGACTGGATGACAGGGGTGGATCACTCGATAATTGCCCTGTTCTGTTCATTCCCTCTGAAACATCTGGTTCTGGCCACTGTCGGAAGACAGGTGTAGCGGGGCGGTCACCCCGCTCCGGCCCTGAAAGGGTTAAAAGCCAGCCCTTGGAGAGGGCTGGGGCTGAGAGCCAATAAGAAGAGGTGGGAAGGCAGCCAATCAGGGCCAGGCTGGGTCCTATAAAAGAACTGCAGGGCCAGAAGGTAGTCAGTCTCTCTCTAGCTTTGGAGTGAGAAGGACCTGGCTGCAGTGCAGTGCAGTGCAGTGCAGTGCAGTGCAGTGCAGTGCAGTGCAGTGCAGTGCAGTGCAGTGCAGTGCAGTGCAGTGCAGTGCAGTGCAGTGCAGTGCTCCAGCCTTGCAACTCCCCAGGCTGAGGCTTTGGTAAAGGCCTAAGGAGGTACTGGGGCTGCAGAGTTGCAGCCCAGGGATAGGCAGAGGCAGCTGGTCCAACCCCCTTGCCAGTGATGAGGGGCCATTACAGGCTGCAGTTTGCCCCAGAGAAAGAGGGCTAGATGACAACAAACCACTGAGGTAAGGTGGGCATAGAGGGTGTGGATTCCCCTGGGAGGGGAGACCCAGAGAGTGGGGGGGTGCTGCTGTGGGGCAGCATCCCAAGATAAGAGGGCAACGGGGTCCGGGAGGGATGCAGGGCCTGTGGCAGGCGAGACTCTGGCCAGCAGGGGGTGCTCTGAGGCTGAGGAGCTAATTCCTGGTTGACCAGCAGGAGGTGTCGCGCCAGTGAGTCTGCGATCTGCTACAACAGGATATTGGGCTAGATGGACCATTGGTTTGACCCAGTATGGCCATTCTTATGTTCTTTGTTACCTAGTTTGTGCCAGATACTTGCTGACATACTGTGGCTGCCCACAGACTTCAGGGCTGACTCTGGACTGTACAACCCAGCCCCCTGGGACTCCAAATCAATGCTATAGAGAGAACGTGGGTCCACATGTTGCGGCAAAGGCCCCGGAGCACTTAAGAAGAATCGCAACTAACTCCTGAAAATATACGGCCTATGACACACGCCTGCCATCCAGTAGAGGGCAGTGTGGTGCCTGCACCCATTGCAAAGCTAAGGTGGCCATGTGTCCTTGGTGATATATGCTCTCCGTGAGGAAACGGTCAGTGGTGTGGGGTTGCTACCGTCTCATGATTACAGTGTCTAGCAGGTGGACACAGGACTAAGACGCTCTTCTCTGGGCATACAGCCGAACTAAAGGGGGATCTCCATTGTCCACCACCCAAAGGATAAATGGGGACTCTATGTCTTATGCCTTCTCCCGCATGTGAGAAGGTGTGACTCCATCCAACACTGGGCAGTAGTGGTAGGCACACCTCAGCCAGCATACGCATGTTGCAACTCCTGACTCTGTGGTGTTTGTTCTTGATGACTAAGGGGAAGTGAGAACGGATACAGACATGGCTCAGCAAATCAAAAAAGACACCCTAATCGATGCTAGGAAACCACACTCCTGTGCCATTGGTACTCAGACAAGACCAAACCTGAAGGGATTGTAAACTAATGGAATGCCTGATAATCCTCTTTCACGCTGCATCTCGCTGTAGGTCTCATTCCCCTTTTATGCTGGCGTAACATGACTGACTTCAATGGGATTACTCCTGATTTACCCCTTTACAATAAGACTCAGCATTTTTGGCCTTTTGTCTCCGTTAACGTTCTTTTATTCCACGCTTTTGTGGCCCTTTGTATGGAAGGCTTTGCAAGAAGGTAGGGTACTTATGGCTTTGTTTGCGTTACCTCTCCCTGACTGGGGGAACAATGATTGGGACTGGATGGATGATTCATCTGTTACCGATGACAAATCTCTTTCCATTAAACAGGATTTTAAATGTATTTCTTCCCCGTTGAGACTTGATCCCCAGGTAAATTTATAGGGGTTGTTAGAGGAAAGGTTAATGTGGACGAACACATGTAAATTTCATATGCTGGAGCAGTTTCCATGCATAGAGGGCCTTTTCACATTCATGCCAGTATAAATCAGGAGTAACTCAGCGGTGTTACTTGTGATTGCCACTGTTATAAGGATGAGCAGAATCAGGTACGTGGAGTTACAAGTCTGTGAAACAGACATGAGAGCAGAATCGTGCCCAAGAACTTTTCTTCTAGTACGGCTGTCGTTACGGAATAATGGAGGAAACCAATTCAAACTAGGAGCTAGGTGGTGTATCAGTTACCTCAGGGAGGACTAGGGGTGGTTCAAAAAAGGGGATTATTTCATGTTCAATTTTTTGTGTAGATTTTCCTGACCTTTTGACAAATCAATTGCAAAGGAAAGTTTTTCATTTAGAAGAGAACCAAGTTTTTCTCTTCCAGTAGAGTACACTCCCGGAGGCTGAAATAGAACGCAGGAATCTTGCCTCCCAAGTCCCACTCGCTCTAGGCTCTATTCCCACGGCTGGGGAAAGAATCCAGAAATCCTGACTTCCCCTTGCTCTAACCACTAATCCAGATTTACCAGAACAGCAAGACCAACAAAAAACCTCTGTAAATTATGATGGAAGTCCCAGAAAACGTTATGATGTTAAAGGGACCTTTCACTATCAATTTTGAATTGTACCAGGGAAAAACTATGCACAACAGATGTATAATATGGTTAGGGTATGTCTAAACCACACACTAAGCCCAAGTTCTCCTGTAGGTGTGAGCCCAAGTCCTCCTCCTGTCCACACACAAATCAGTCTGACTTGCGTCAGCAAGCACTTATGACCCATGTCCTATGACCCTGCTAGGGGTATAGATCAGAGCCCAAGTCCAGCTGGAGCTCAGGTCCAAGTCCTGTCATTCTTCAGTGTGGACACAACTCTAGCTGAAGACTCAAGGCAGAAGGTCTACGCAGAGTAGTGTGGATGTGTTAACATGACTGTGAGAGCTGGATCCAGCAATTGTAAACCCAGGTTTACAATTCATTGTGGACACTCAAGCGTGGGCTTGGAAACACAATCCCGGTCCTCCAGACCCAAGTTTACAATGCAGTGTAGACATACCCTTAGAGACCTTCCCCCATATCTCTTGCCATAGAAGAAAGACTAGTTCCCTTGGCCCCTGTAGCTTTGGAAAAGAGGAGACAAAGCGAGGGATCCAGGAAACAAGATCCTTGATGTCAAATAGCTCTATAAGGGTTGCTAGGAAAGTGGCTTAAGCTGAATACAGGCTCAGTCTGAGGAATAGCCGGGGCAGGTATAATTTCTTTGCGCGAAGGATGGATTAAAGAATACAACAGGTTGCCAAAGTCAACAGTGTGAATCCCAACAGAAACTAATCCAAGAGGAAGCTGGGAACATAGCGAGGGGCACATACAGCCAGGCCAGTAGGTGCTGCAGCGCATAGGGATGGCTTCCTCCCATCTCTAGTGCGTCCTTTTCCAGCAGTGCAGTCAGCACAGGGAGACAGCCTGGCAGCTTATAAAGTCATTCAGAAGGCAGTATGGTCTAGTGGCTAGGACACAGGTCTAACCCTCCGGAAACCTGGGGTTTAGTCCCAGTGCACCCCACCTATAAAACAGGGATAATTATACTGGCCTGCTTTGTAAAGCAATTGGAGCTTTACTGTTGAAAAGCATGGCCTTTCTCAGTTGCATGGTGCCTGATGCACCATTGGAAATCGGCTGCATTCTCTGGGTCAATTCATTGATATTACGGTGCTGACTTTCTTCTTTGTGGGTGGGTGCTCCACCCCTGCTCTGCCCCGAGGCCTGGTTCCCACTCCATCTCTTCCGCCCTTGCTCCGCCTCTTCCCGCCCTGCCCCTCCTTCGCTGCACATGCCCTGCCCTTGCTCCGCCTCTTCCCACCCCCGCTCTTCCCTCTCCCCCTCGACGCCTCCCAACAGCTGCCGAGCAGCTGTTTCGGCAGGAGGCTGATGGGTGCCTCGCGCCCGGTGTGAGTCTGAAGGCGACTGTCGCTCAGCTCGCTTCCAAAACGGAACGGCCGGGCCCGTTCCTTGGAGAGCGGCCAGGTGTTTCGGAGGAAGGTAGAACACGGTTAGAGGGCACCTGTTCTGTTAAAATATACCATAGAGGAGCGGCAGATAAGGGTGCTGGTTGAGCATTCCATCCCGATCCCAGCTGGAGACAAGTGTATGCCTTGCAGCACTGAGCTGGTAAAATCATCCTAGCTAGCTCAACTGCTGATGCCGTTCTTCTGATCCTAATATGCCTTAATCCCCTTCCTTTGAATCTCGCTAAGCTATTTCCCTTAACAACACCCTGTTACGAAAATGACACAGGCTACATCTACACTGTGATAAGAGACCCATGGCATGGCCGGGGCTGGCCCGGGGCAGCTGCCTTGGGCTGCGGGGCTATAGAATTGCAGTGTAGACCACTGTTCCTTCTAAGCTGTGTACACAGATCCTAAACCCCATGCACACGGCAAAACACCGCACGCACAAAAATTTGCACAGCAGAAATTTTTTGCGCATATGGCCTGTCAAAAAGTAGAGGGAATACTGGTGTAGACTTTTGGGCTTGGGCTGGAGCCCGGGCTCTCAGACCCTGGGAGTGCGGAGGGTCTCAGACCCCCAGCTCCAACCTGAGGCCGAACATCTACACGGCAACTGGTAGCTCCCGGAGCCCGAGTCAGCTCTCCCGGGTTCTAAGACTTAGTGCCATGAGTTTTTTATTGCAGACGTATGCACAGAGGTAGTTTGTTCTATTCAGTGGACCCTGAAAACATCAAACGAAAGGAAATTTTGAAAGAAAGTAATTTCAAACGGGGAAAATCCCAATGAGTTCACAAACACAGCCGTGAAATCTGTCAAATTTTTTCAGAATTCTTTTTTTTTGCATTTCCCCCCCCCCTTCTGCCCCCTCCCCCCCCAAACCCAACAATTTGGCACAATGGACACAAATTCACCTGACTCTTTGGTGCTGCCAAAACTGCATTTTTTCCCCAGAAAGAAAGTATTTAGCTGAAACATTTCGCCCAGCTCCACCAGCCTCATTGCACACGCTTAGGCATCTGGTCTTATTGTTGCTTCTTACCTGCTCGTATACGGCTTTCTTTAACTCCATCAACTCTTGAAGCCCGTGCAGTTTGACCTCAAGCTCGGTTCTATGCATGCAACCAGCGTCTAAATCCTGTGGGGCAAAGAAGACATATCAGCGCTGCTAACAAATGGTCTGTACGTTGGGCTCTGTTGGGGCTAGAGATCTTCTCCATTGTGCACTGATTACCCAGTCCCAGGAGAAAGCAGTGTCCTTTGGGGATACTATCCATCCATTCTGCAGGATGGTGGATGTTGCTGGTGGGACCCTGTTTTGCTGTTTCCATTGAGGTTGGGTGATATGAGAAGAAGACCTCTAGATAGAATTTCTTTTTGTTAGAGCTTGAGTGCATGAAAGGAGGTGGGGCATAGAACATAAGAATGACCCTATTGGGTCAGACCAAAGGTCTGTCTAGCCCAGGATCCTGTATTCTGACAGTGACCAATGCCATGAACAGATCAGGGAATCATCAAGTGATCCATCCCCTGTTGCCCATTCCCAGCTGCTGGCAAACAGAGACTAGAGACGCCATCCCTGCCCATCCTGGCTAATAGCCATTCCATAAAAGGAAACAAGCAGGACTGGCCCATAAACAGTCATCTTTTAATCATAAGGAAAAGCAGAGATTGTTGAAAACACTGATGCAATAAACAAAAATCGCACAAACTGCCCTTACCAGGCCATGAGCATGCTTGGGAACAACTTGTAATTAACCATAACAATCATTTATGGTGAGCATTCCCCACAGCTCATGACACCCTAGCTTTCCTTGCCAAAGATTCCAAACCCACATACACAACAACTGATTTCCATTCACTCATCACAAGTGCAGCTTCCTCTGGGATGGAACAAGGTGGCTGTTTAACAGAGCCTGCCTGCACTACATTTCACAGGGAGTGAAGGAGAATACTGTCTGCCACTGGTTTTCAACCTTGGCATACTGTGACCGCATGTAGAGAAATGTTTCAGGGCGCCCCTGAAGGGAAGGTGGTTATGACCCGTCCTTGTGACCCTACTGGATCATGACCCCAGGCTGAGACCCCATGGTGTATGCAACTGAAACTGCATAGGAATCTTGCCTGATAGAACTTGGCCAAGACCTGGCAGATAATACTCCACAGCATTTGGTGCAAAAGCACAGGATCTTTAGCAACCACAGGTGCTCAGGTCCTCATTTGTCTATGGTTCATTTCAAAATACATCACCTCCACCAGTCTGTGGTCCTCCTGGCCCAGGTTGCCATCTACTGAGCCTATAACCCCCCTGCCTTTAGCACTGTAAGGGAATGGCTACACAGCAAGAGAGCCCAGGTCAACTGGCTAGGGCTTGTGGGGCTCAGGCTGTGGGGCTAAAAACGGCCATGTAGATATTCAGGTTTGGGCTGGAGCCTGGGCCCTGAGTCCCTCCCCCGTTTCCAGGTTTCAGAGCCGAGGCTTGAACGTCTGTTTTAGCTCTGCAGACAGTTGACCTGGGCTCTGCAACTCGTGGCTGCTGGTCTCTTTGTGCTGGGTAGCCATGCTCTAGATTTCCTATAGGGGCAGGTCTCTCATACGAATACAGAGCCAACCCAACCCTCTTCTTGGTGCTTACCTGACCCCGTGAATGTAGTATCTCTGCACCTCACCATGCTTCTACTATTCCCATTTCACAGAGATCTGAGGCCCAGGTCCTCAAAGAAATCTGGCCATCTAACACCCACTGATATCAAAGGAAGTTAAGCACCTAAATACAGCATCTTTGAGGCCCTGCACGAGAAAGACGATGTGACTTGCTCAAGGCCACTCAGCAAGTCTGTGGCAGAGCAGAGATGCAAATCCAGATCTCCTGAGCCCAGGCTAGGACCCTAACCACTAGACACTCCTTCCACTGCAGGTGCATCTTCTCCATAGATGGGCACGCAGCCCTTTATACCGCTGTGAAGATGAATGGCCTCTTACCCTTTTCAGCTCCGTGAAGGTGAATTCCATGCCACTCCGTTTATGTATTTCATCCTCGTATCTACGGAGAGAGAAGCAGGTTGGTGTGAAACCCGGCAAGGCTTAGCTAAATCCTGTACTGGAGATCTTGCAGGTCACTTTGTTTAACACCGCTTGTACCAATATATCAATAAGAGTCACAGTGATCCCCAGACAGTTTTTATAATTGGAACAGACAAACTGTGGGAGGGGAAGTTGCTGGTCCAGCTAGAAATAGAACCAAGGTCTTCTGAACCCAAGGCCAATGGTCTCCTCATTGGACCACCCTGCATCCAGGGGACCAAATTCCCCATTTGCCGCTCTCAAAAGGGAACAACCCAACCCAGCCCAACAGTGGCAGCTTTCCTTCAACTTCCATCAGAGTGGGAAAGGGCCATTTTAAAGGAAAAGATGGTAACCCTTTTTTGAAGTTATTGACGTGAACAGTGACTGTATAGATCATTGGTGCAACCAAGGTTATGATTTGCTGGTTATGATTATGCTATCTGAATGCATGTATCATGTTGTATTTAAAGTTATAAGTGTTGGCTCTGTACTGTCTGTATTTCAAACTTGTGCAATGCTTCTGGGTGACACCCCAGACAATGGGGCGTCACCACTGCCTAGCCTGCTTGATGGCCCATTAAGGACCATCAGCTATACAATTGATCCATTGAGAGAAGGCAGATACACCTTGTGACTCAGCAAGGTGTGCAGGGATGTGCCTATGGACCAAACTCTAAAGTTTTTTTCATGCCATGTGCTGGGTGGCTTGTGTTTGGAACAAAGGAAGCACAAGCCACATGGCAAAAGGACTAGAAAAGGCAGCTGCAGCACCTCCATTTTGTCTTCAATCCTGCTTCTTACCTCTGGAGGAACCTTGCAACAAACTGAAGCTCTAAACAAAGGACTGAATGACCCAGCTGTGGGTGTATTCTAGAGACTTGATTTGAACCTGCAGTTTATTCCATCACTGCTACAAGCCTGAACCAAGAACTTTGCCATTCCTGTATGTGATTGACTCCATGTAACCAATCCTAGCTCTCATCTATATTTCTTTCTTGTTATGAATAAAAACCTTTAGATTTTAGAGTCTAAAGGATTGGCAACAGTGTGATTTGTGGGTAAGATTTGTGGGGGGAGGGATAGCTCAGTGGTTTGAGCATTGAGCCCGCTAAACCCAGGGTTGTGAGCTCAATCCTTGAGGGGGCCATTTAGGGATCTGGGGCAGAAAAAATTGGGGATTGTGCCTACTTTGAGCAGGGGGTTGGACAAGATGACCTCCTGAGGTCCCTTCCAACCCTGATAGTCTGAGTCTAATGAGTATATTGACCTGGGTCTGGGGCTTGGGCCTTTGGGACCAAGAGAACCTTTTTTGTTTTATTGGGGTATTGGTTTTCATAACCATTCCTCCCCGTAACGAGTGGCGTTGGTGGTGATACTGGGAAACTGGACTGTCTAAGGCAGTGGTCCCCAACCTTTCTGTTGCAGTAGCGTATTCATGTTCCCAGAAGAGCGTGGCAGGTGCCAGATGACCAGCCGCCGAGAAGGGGTGTCGTCAAGAAGCGTCGCTGCCATAATGCCGCTGAATGCAGCGGCGTTGCCAATCCTCGGCGGCGGGTTGTCTGGCGGCCGCACTCCTCGGCGGCGGGTTGTCCAGTGGCCGCACTCCCTTGTCAGTAGGCGGGTGCACAGAAATGCCCCGGCGGGCATGGCATGGCGCCTGCGGGCACCGCGTTGGGGACCACTGGTCTAAGGGAATTGCTTGTATGACTTCTGGTTAGCCAGTGGGGTGAGACCGAAGCCCTCTCTGTATGGCTGGTTTGATGTGCCTTAATAGTAAAGGACCCCAGCCTTGGGCTGTGACTGCCCTGCTCTAAGCAATTTGTCCTGAATTGATACTCTCAGTTGTGTCCCTCCAGAGGCAGCATCGTTACACCTTTATATTGAGGGTTACCTGCATAAAGAGTTTGCAAAGGGTTAATAAACGCTTCCTAGCGGTTTTAAGACCTGGCTAATCAATTGTTACGGAGTCAATCAGTCGCTCTTAACCCTGGCTCATAACCAGGCTTCCACACCTGTAGTGATGTGCTTTATGGGGAGTGCGTGGGACGTGCTACTCTCGCTTGTGACTTGCTTGGCCACTAACCCTTTATAACCTGCATATAAATGTAGCCTCCATCTGACAACTAACTGAAACGTGCCGGATCCCAAGTGAGTGTAACCCTTGCAAAGGAGACCAATCTACATGGGAATAGAGAACCCAAACTCATCCCACAGTTACTGTGGCTCTTCTTAATCATTGATCGTTCGTAATAATCATTTGCATTGCGGTCAGAGCGCCAGTTACCACCCAGGAAGATGATCCCTGTCCCTGAGAGCTTACAATCTGAGTGCTAAAGTAGCCGGGTCTAGGGGAAGGGCACAAGGGAGGAGAACAGGGGAAAAAAATGACAATGACAGGTGATGCCATTGTTTCTGCCTCACCCTGGTATTTAACTGTTTCATAAGCCCTGATCGGGAGGCGAATGGGAGAAGTGGTTGGTTCTTCTGGTTTTTCTGCTTCTTAACTGGAATGTCTGACTTGGTGCCAGCACACGTATGTTGTTCTTAATTACAGCCTGCCTCTCTCCCGCGCCATCCTCACCCCAATCCCTGCTGAAAACGCTTCACTCATTGCAGAGCATTGACATCATGTCACCTACTGCGCAAACAACAATCCTGACCGGATGGCAGCCGGGCTTGTCCGCAACCGATGCTCATCCCCCAACCCCCCCCCTCCCGTCCGGCTTAGCCAGCTTTTGGCTGGAGACGGGTGGCAGAGACGCGCCTTCAGATGTGGAGGGCCTGGGAGCAGGGAGGTGACTCGTGAGGGGGTTGAGCAACCCTTTCAGAGCACAAACGGATCATGGCTCACTTTCTCCTTCAGGCCGATCCTGAGGACCTGTGGGGCAGTGTGTAGCTTTAAGGGTAACTGGTCTGGCTATTGAGTAGCAACGCAGCAGGGTGCACAATTGCAAAACCGCACTGTACAAGGCCCTTCTGTCTGAGTCAGTGGCCTGGGAGTTAGCTAGGGACTGCTTGGCTGATTTCAAACCAGGCATTTTCCCATCAGCAAATTCTCTGTGGGGAAAAGTTGGTTTTGAGGGAGTTTTCTGTTGGGAAAAGCAAAACAAAATATTTCGTTGAGTGATTGATTTGACATTGATCGCTGAGTCCGCCTGAGCACCATGGTGCCAGATGGGAGTCGTACTTTTGGACCCCTCATGCCTCTATTGTCCCGTATGGGGCCTGCTACCTGGCCAGACTACATTTCCCATGATGCACCCCTCTCTATCTCTCCCTATGTCTTGGTCATGAAACGTTACAATATTTCTAAATTGAAATTCTTTGGACATTTTTGGTCCATGAAAAGTTTCAACATTTTATTCCAATGCAGGACCGAGCAAAATGTCAAAACATCAGAATTTCCCAGGGGACAGAAATTCTGTTTTTCAATTCTGTTTCCGCATCAGGAAACCTAGGTTCTAATCCCTGCTCTGCTGTTGTCTAGTGATACCTCTCTGTGTCTTAGTTTCTCCATCTGTAAAATGGGGATCATGATATTTACCCATCTTTGTAAAGGGTGCCCTGAGATCTCTGGATGATAAAAGGTAAGTATTATTATAGCAGCCTGGGGAAATATGAGATAAAGAATAACATTTTCTAAATGCTTGAGAAAAAACCTTCTGTGCAAAATCAAGTGCTGGTTGAAGAGTAAAGGAAAGTCCAGGCTTTGAGGCCAGATGCTCAGCTGGTGAATCATCCAGGAGCTACATTTGTTTTCATCTGCTGAGGAACCAGCCCGGAATAAAAGCAGGGAGCTGGCTTCACTATGATTTGTTGGGTCAAATAGCTAAGCACAAATTTGCATGATTACCATTCATTCAAGAAACTTTTCACGAATGCCCCAAAATGCCATGAATTTTTACTCCAGTGGTTTGTTTGGTCTGAATTTGCTCTGTGAAGCACATTCACTGTTAATTATTCACCAGTTCCATGAACCATCCCAATGAGGGAACAGATCGAATTAAGCAAGGTGAGCGGTCAGGCCATTGTGTGAAAATGGTTTGTTCACAGTGTTGGCTGAAAAGGTACAAATAACCAATATGTTCAAAACCCGTAATGGTTGGGGATGATTTGTCAATTAACAAAGGGGCTGAATTCAGAGGGGCATGACTCTAACTGCAACTAAGGCTCCTTTGCACCACTCTGACAGTGTGGGCTTAAATTCTACATAAATTAGATTAAATAATTACAACCACTTAAGTAATACTAATTTTTACATCTGTGCTCTTCTATAGCACTTATCAGTAGATCTCAAAATGCTTTACAAACAAACAGCATTGTTATCGTCATTGCACAGATGGGGAAACCGAGGCACAAGGCGGTAAAGTGACTTGGTCAAGGTTATCAGATAGGCCACTGGCAGAGCCAAGGATAGATCCTAGGACTGCTGAGTCTCTGTCCCATACTGTAACCACTAGGCAACACTACCTCAACTGCCAAAGTGGTGTAAAGGGTTTAAGAGTCAGACTCATAATGAATATTATACCTGATTCTTCTTCAGTCTACACTAGTGTAAATCAGAAGTAACTCCACTGTAGTTCATGCAGTTACACTGGTGTAAAATTTGCATAAGTGAAAGAAGAATCAGGCTCATTAATAGTTGTAAACCCCTAATAACTGGACAATACAACAGTTAAGCCAGGGGTAAAGTCACACTTTCTAAAGTCACAGATTGGGAGAACATGACAGAAGGGGGCACATTTCATAGGGGCTCAGAGAGCACTCTCTTGAAATGAGTGAGGTATTCATTTCTGTGTCAAAATACAATCATTGACTTGTGCAAACAGGGCACTTGTGCATTCAAAAATCCCACCACTGTTCATGCAAATGTGATTTTGTGCATGTAAATTGGGTAGACAAGCCCTTAGTGTCTCTCTCTCTCTCTCTCTCTCACTCTCCATGGATTTCTATTTGTCTACTTGTCTAAGTTCATTAAGCATGAAAAAAGTGTGAGCCTTATTTTCAGAACCTGCAGTTCTTGTTGAAAGCTCATCATCCCCCCCCAAAATCAGACCCTTGAGGGTTTTGAGTATGGACAACAAGAGAAGAACTCCATGTTATTATTTTAGTTATCCACAGTCCATACTTTTGAAACAGTACCTAACAATAGGCTGAAATTAATCCCTTTATTTCCAAAGACCCCCAACAAACTAGGACAACTGGCACCTGCTTCGTATGTTATCCATGGACTTCAACACCTCAGTCAACTCCGACTCCAGCTGTTCTCTCTCGTGGCCGATAGCCCTTATCTCTTGCTTCAGTTTGCTCATGTACTGGTCGTAGAGGAGTTTGATGTCTGATTCAGAACGGGAATTGTCCTGATCTTTCAGGAAGCTCCACTTGATCGTGAGAATCTTGTTCTGCCGCTCCAGCCATTGGACCTGCAGAACGGAATCCGGAGACATTAGGAAGGTTGATGGTGGAAGGCTGATGTCCACCTCTCAGCCAACACACTAGATAGGGAACCCCAGAAATAAATGCATGAACCTTTATATCTTGGGGGACCCAACTAGGCTCTCAAGCAAGGAGCGGTAAAAAAATTCCATCCCATGCAGATCAGGCACAGAAGGGCATTACATTGACATATGGAGGCTTTGCTTTACATACTCAGTGGTTTCTCGACAGACCATCACTCAAGTCAAATCACAGCTGATTAGCGCATCCTATTGGACATGGCATCAAAACCCGACAACTTAAAGACCAAGCTATGAAGCTCCAACTCAAAGGTTATTTCCGTCTTCACATATGGATGTGAAAAGCTGGAGATCTACCAAGGGGACGGACAATCATCTCAATGCCGTCAAGAACAAAAGCCTTAGAAAAATACTAGTTATTAAATGGAATGACTTTACAATGAATGCTGAGATTTGTCAGAGTTCGACCCCTAAGTGCCAAAGCTTTATACAAAAGCAGTGGAAAATATCTAGGACGTGCATAAAGACTGAAGCCAGAGCTTCTACCATGCCATTGGGCAGCTGAAGGAACACACAAAAGGCCAACCAATAGAACCCCTCCATTGAACGTTAAAGAGGGTAAACTTATGGGAATGAACAACATAGAGGACATGCAAAGAGCGGCCCAGGATAGAGGGGAGCAAGTGTGGATGGCTGCTGAGAGCACCCTCTAGAGAATGTGGCAGATCAGGGTTCAACTAGCAAAACCAACCCCTGGAAATGAGTAGGAGTGGAGAGAAGAGGCTGGTAGGAGAATCCCAAGGCAAGGTCTCATGGACAGAATAATACTAATCTGTATTGGAATCTTTCCCACACCATCGGATGTGATTGGGGCATAAACAATACAGGGCACTATCTCCTCTGTGTAAACACCCCTTCTCAATATGAATCTGAAGCATGGATAACATTCCTGTGAGCTAACAGAGATACACTCTTCATCGGCCCATGCATTGAATCTATCCATCCACCCATTTATAGGCGCCATCCCTATTTGATTGCCTGATCCTTCTGTTCTCTGTCCATCTTTGCAGTCTTTCTTTACAAGTAACAACTTGCCTTTTCATCTGCTAGGGCTTCCACACACACCCCCCACCCCCATTTCAGCCTGCAGTCTGTCTGGCAGCATCTCTGTTACATATGCTGTCAGTGCTTTGATTTCTGTATGGGCTGCGTCCAGCCGGCTTCATGCAGCTGGGGATTGGTTTGAGGGAACATGGTCCAGCGAGTAGCACACCACCCTGGGCTGCAGAAGACCTGAGCTCTGCCAGTGACTCACCTCTCTGTGCCTCAGTTTCCCCTCTATTTAAAGTACTTATTTGGCCCCCCATTACTGTAGTATCTGAGCACGCCTCAATCTCTGATGCATTTATCCTCACGACACCCCTGTGAGGTAGGGTGCTGCTATTAAACCCATTTTACAGTCAGGGGAGTGAGGCACTGCGAGAAGTGTCTTGCCCAAGGTCACAGAGGAAATCCGAGGTAGAGCAGGGAAATGAACTGGGATCTCCTGAGCGTCAGACTCATGTCCTAGCCACTGGACCATCCTTCCTGTGCCCCCCCCCCTCCCACCAGCCTCTTCCCTTAAGACTGTACGCTCTTTAGGAGCGGAACTGTCTCTTGCTATGTGTTTGTGCAGCTCCTGGCACAACAGGGGCCTCCATCTTGCTACAATACTACAAATGATAACACTATGATAAGACAATTCCTCAGCCCAGTTGGGCCAGCATGATATTCACTTCCCTGCAGGTATCAGTAATAACTGTTGGTCCTAAAACATAAATATGGGCCTGATTCGCTGCTGCGTCCTTGCAGCGTATTCCAGTGTCACTCCACTGAAATCAGAAGGGTGACTTAGATTATTAGCCCCTCAGGGAAGGGACTGTCTTTTTGATCTGTGTTTGTACAACTAGAGCTGTACTGGGCTGTGACTATTGCTGCTCGGGACTACAGCCATACAATAAATAAATAATTGTAGGCCGACGCTGGGGCAAAACTGGAGTAACGTCGTGTGAATCAGGTTCCAACGTTTGCACTGCCAAGGGCCGTGCACCCCTATGGAACGACATACAATCACCGCAAGAATTACAGACGCTGTATCCTGTCTGTGTGTGTGTGTGTGTGCGGGCATGGGTTTTTTTGGTACATGCAGGAGGTCGTCCACCCTCCAGTCTAACTTGGCACACTCCCATATTCGCAGCGATAGCCATATGGCTCAGCCTCAAAGTGCTTCCAGTAATGATTTAATTGCCAGCTCTCCTCTCCACGCACAAAACAAATTGCTTTAATTGCACTTAATTTGGCAGGTGACAGCTGCTAAATGCTGTAAAGCGGCCATAAGTCAACTGAGGGGATGGTTCACTCATGAGACACCGTGCGTCCTCTCTGAAGGATGGTAACAGCATCACCTGTGCAAAGCTGCCTGCTCCTGCCCATCCAAGACATTGAGCAGGTGAGGACTGATCTAACTTCCTTTGCCCAGGGGTAGAAAATTGCACTGGCCCCTGGGAGAAGACCCTCTAATAGAGTGTGTTTTATCAGCTTAGTTTGTCCCTGGTCTGGCGTCTGTCAGCAGTCACAGAACGACCCTCCTGATCTGCCTTCTTCATTAGGTTACAGTAGTGCCTCGAGGCTCCAGCTGTGATCAGGACCCCATTGTGCGAAGCACTGTTCACACAAGGAGAACCATCCTGCCTTCTCCCATGATGCCCCCTCCCCCCTCCCCCATGCTTTGGAGGAACTCCCTGTGAACGTCTGCAAAGCCCCCTCGTGACCCACCTTCCAACCCCCAGCTTAAAACTCTCCTTTGCCATGCAGCCTACAAGGAAGGCTGGACAATGGTTAGGCAGTTGCTTTGCTGACATCTCTGCCTCTGACCAATATTAGCTTATTGTTTCCTAGTGTCCCTCCCCAGCCCTGTCTGCATCCATCTGCTATCTCTTGTCATATGCTTAGATTGTAAGTGGCTAGCTGCTAACATAGTACACCTAATCAATAAGATAACAACACCTAGCACAACAGGGGTCACTACCTAGCGCAATGGGGTCCTGCTCCATGACTAGGGCCCGTAGGTGCTACCGTAATACAAATAATAAATAAAATAAGAGGCAACCCCTACCCTGATGTGCCTACACCTAAACAGAGAAGCTTACAGAGGCACCACTGGAAACGGCCGGCACAAACACTGAGCCAAGTCCACCCCGGGCCTGTGTGAAAGATCCTCCAGGATGCACTAGGAAAGGCCCTGTTTCGGAGGTACAAGGCAGCAGGGCATGGAGAGCCAACCTGCAAAGTGCCACCGAACAAGTGCTCAGTGGCAGAGCTCAGTGACGAGGAGTCATGGACAGGGGGGTGGCTGGTGGGCTAGGGAAGTGGCTACCAGGTCCCTGCACAACACAGGGACCCCAAACACCAGTGTGAAAGGGGCATAGCTGGTGGTTGCTGCTACTCCTGCTCAGAGGCTGCAGGGATGGCTGAGACCTTGCAGCCTGGGTGTTCTGGTCCCTAAGCCTTGATTGAGGGGAGAGCATGCCACTCCCCTCCTTCCAAAGTTACTGGGGCTATTCATAGGGGGACCCAAGATTTGACCTATGGGCCTTAGATAATCATCACTGAGCACAGAATGGGAGAACCTGCCATACACGTTGTCCCTGGAGGTCTCTTGTTTCTAGTTTGCTAAGTATGAACAGGATGAGAAGCCAGGGTTGCCTGAGATAGCAGGGACTGGTCTCGATGACCCAGGAGATCTCTTCCAGTCCAGTGTCCTGTGTTCCTGCATTCGTTAGCCTGCAGAAGAGGTCAGAACTGAGAACCCACTAGCCAGCCATTTCTGCCTCCTCTCCAAACACATGTGAGCCACATCAAAAAGAAACCCAGAGTCAGTAAGAGCTTGACCAGGACTCCTCATCCTCAGCCGCGTGGCAGATCCCAAAGGTGCGTGGCCTTCTGACTGGGAATGGTCAACCCCTACCTCCCAGCTATGGCCATAGCTACTTCCCTGGGGGTTTATGGCTTGTGTGGCATTTGACTGAGGTCATGTGAATTCCTGATAAAAAGACACACTCCCTGTCCAGTGGCACATTCGCAAGTGTCTGTTACGTTTCTCTGCCAATGGGTTGAAATTCACCCCTGTGTAGGAGGCCAGTGGGAGATGGGCGCCATCTTGGCTGACACACCAGAGATCTCCAGAGCTAGAAGCCCTTGAGCTAAAGAGCCAACCCATCCTAGCTAGGGTTGTACCAGACGCTTTGTGGGTCAGACACAGAAGAGGCCCTGTAATACACACTCACCAGTGGGATTCGTATGCGCCACTTAAGGCCAGTTTTGAGGGTTTAAGTGGGGCCTGGGTCTCATGTTGGCCTCTGCCCAGGGGTGAATTTCATACACCCTAGATTTCATTCTCAGGGCTGGCATCTGAAAAAGTGCAATGCACAGATGGTCACATTTGCACACTCCAGGGGGCAGCTGGGCCTGCCTGGATGCTTGTTTATGCACGCAGAAATGCGGAACCCTGTGTAGGTGCAGTTTGGGCAGATGCTGTTGAAAACAGAGCCCCACGGTACTAGTTCAGACCCATATTAGCACTGTGTTTTTTTTGTTTTGTTTTTTTAAATAATAGTAGCTTGGCATTAACTGCCTACATAATATACTTCAGTGAAGCAACCCTTTCGGGAGATTACCATCTGATTACAGAGTATAAGAGCTTTGCAGGAACCTGCCTCAAGTAGGTGAACTGTTTTGCTTTGAGAAATCTTCTACCTTCCCCTGGATCTTAGCAGATGAAAGACTCTCTGCAGGAGAGCTTTGCTTAGCCGATCCAGCCACCCTTCCTCCCAACCCCCCATCATCCGCCACATTGTTGGCTGGTTAGTTTTCTCTCATTTTAGCCATTAGACAACAAGACGAGCAGGAACCATAGGCTAGTTTACTGATCGCAGCTTCTGTACTGGTTCTCTGCCTAGCTACAGGTATGAAACTCCTTCTGCTCTATCCTTTGTCCTCACAGCCCCTGTCTTTGCTGCTTACCCCATTCCTACTTCTGTCAGTGGCCGAGTTTCCCTTTTCCCAGGGATCACCCAGGGAGATTACTAGCCGATGGGGATGGGCAGGGTCTTGGAAGCGGTGGACTGGGCTACTTACCATAGTTAGCTAATAATCATGCAAACTTTTGGTAAAATAGACAGCACGGAAGGAAAGAACTATCCCCCCAACTGGGGAAATTAGCTAATATTTAGCACCAGGGAATGGCTATCCTTGCGAATCTCTCCTGCCACAGGCACTTCACAGCCCATCCCCTGCTGGCCTCTGTGGTCACTAGAACCTGGCACTCCTCTTACCTTCCCGATTAAGGATGCAAATTGGTCGTTGAGGATCTTCATCTCCTCTTTCTCCTGCTTCCTCCTCTGCTGGAATGTGGGGTCCATGTCTAGGTTCAGTGGGGTCCAGAGCTTCTCCTTGCTGAAGACGGATGGGCAAGAGGAAGACGTGTGTCCACCAAGACTCGAGGTGCTGAAGCTTCTGCTGGCTGGACCGCCAGGACTGCTGCAGCCGTAGTATTCGGAGGACGTCACGACTGAGCTCCCCCTGGTCTGATTCCATGATGCCTGCCAAGATGAGAGGGAACTGCTGCTGAGGCTGCTGAATTCATTGGAGTGGCTGGTCATCCTGGCTCGGCAGGTGGTGGGGAGGTAGGGGAAGGTGTATGAACTAAGCCACCCGCTGCTGCCGGGAAAGAGAAGTGTCACCTTGGGGAATATGGTCTGTTTAATTCCTGCCTCCACTGAGCTGGGGTTAGCTAATGCATTACAAACACCTGCGCTGCTATGTTCATAAAATGAGAAGGGCGTGACCATTGAGGTAATCCAGATCAACCTGTTGGCCTCTTTTTTGTTTGTTTACGTTCCCGCCTTTCATGTGCAGCTTGTTTGATTGGGGAGAGAGCACACAGGCCCTGATACTCACAGGGAAATGAAATCACTCGCACCCACGTGCCCCGAGCAGCCGACTTCCTCATCCTTAAATGGTGAAGAAACGAGCCAGTGGCACAAGGATCTGCCTCCCTCATACAAAGTGGATAGGTATGTCATTAAGGTAATGGGCAATGATTCACAAGGTGGTGATTCAATTCCTGACTCTACCCTGGGCTTTCAGAGGAGACCAGCAATTTTGGGTGGCTGGCTGGAGGTATCATAGAATACCACGGTTGGAAGGGGCCTCAGGAGGTCATCTAGTCCAACCCCCTGCTCAAAGCAGGACCAATCCCCAGTTTTTGCCCCAGATCCCTAAATGGCCCCCTCAAGGATTAAACTCACAACCCTGGATTTAGCAGGCCAATGTTCAAACCACTGAGCTATCGCTCCCTACAAGGGTCTGGTTTTCAGAGGGCAGGTGCTGAGCACTTTCTAAAAATGAGGCCCTTTTAAGTCGTCTTAGGTCAGGCACCTAAAATTTAAGGCATGCAAAATCACTAGTCATCAGAGAAAGTCATAGCCCCCTCTGTGACGCTGGGTATGAATACAATTTTCAGAATCATCTAAGGATATATCTGCACACTATGCCCTCGCTCTCACTCGGGTTTGAGCCCCAGCCCTGTTTCCATCCTCACACAGATCACTGTGACTTGGATCAGCAAACGCTCAGGATCTAGGTCCTAGGACTTTGCGAAGGGGATGGGTCAGAGCCCAAGTCCTGCTGTCACGCCGGCCCAAGCCCTGTCATTTTGCAGTGGGGAGGCAACTGAAGCTGCAGACAAATAGACCATCTGGGTAGCACAGTGTGGACACGTTAGCACAGCTGTGAGACCCGGGTTCAGGTTAACAATGCAGTGTGGATGCTCAAGTGCGTGCTCGGCAATACTGAGTCCACAGACCGGGGTCCCACAGATGTGGGCTTATGATGCAGTGTAGATGTACCCTAAGTGACTTAGGAATTTCAGTCCCATTTACAAAAGTGGCTCGAGCCCTTATGGCCAAATTATTAAAGGTGTTTAGGCACCTGAATACACAGAGAGGTGCCTAGTGGGATTTTTGAAAGCACCAAAGCACCCAGTAGGAGTTCGTCACCCAGGTACTTTTGAAAACCCCACAAGGCATGTCCCTGCATCGTTAGGTGCCTAAAAATCTTTTAAAATCTGGCCCCAAGAGCCTAAGTCCCATTGTCTTTCAATGAAACGTAAGCGCCTAAGTCACTGTGAGTCATTTTTGACAATTTTACCATCTATGGTTCTTAGTTCCTCATGAGGCTAAAGTGCTACAGCCTGTCTTCCACCCTTTGTCTGTTTAGATGAGAAAGTCTTGGGGGAAGAGATTAGCCCTTATGCTGAGGTGGTTCGAGTTGGCTGAAGCTCACAATGTCTATTCTGCGGGAAATGTTGACATTTTGAAATTTGTTTTCATTCCAAACTGGAACGAAACCAAAAACATTCCAAATTTCCGACTCAACAAAAAGTTTGAAAATTTTTGGTCCATCTGAACGTGTCATTCCTATTTTTTAAATGTCTATTATAATTTACAATTAATACCAAATCAAAGAACCTTTGAAAGGAAAAATCAAAAGGTTCCATTGCGAGAAGTCTGTGACTTTTTTTTAAAAAAAACGAACTTTTATCGAAAGCGACACAGTTCTGCGGCCAGTTTCAATTTTCCGTTTTGCTTTTGACGAAACGGCATTTTCAAAGGGCGACAAACGTTTCGTTGAACAACTTTCAACCATTGCGAGCGTTTTTACGGTGCCTCGCACGATGGGTCAACAAGTTCACACGAGGGCTTTTTGGAATACAAATAATTAAAAAAATAACACAAAGGTTCAAAGCAAAATCCAGACGTAGGAAATGGAGAAACTCATGTCTCTTGAAAGACAAGGCAAGATTACCCAGCCTGCATTGTGGGCTGCTCATTCATGGTTTAATTATAGCGAGAGCATCAATATCGGTGAGGAGAATTAACTACTGGAACATTTTGCCAAGACATCATGGTGGATTCTCCCTCACTGACAATTTTTAAATCAAGACTGGAGTTTGTTTGTTTTTTACAAGCTTTGCTCTAGTTCAAAAGGAATTATTTTAGGGAAGTTCTCGGGCCTGTGTTATACAGGAGGTCAGCCTAGGTGATCACAATGATGATGGGGGCCTTGGACCCTGCCCAGCCTGGGTGAATGGACTTGCATTAGAATGCTCGAGCCCGTGTCCTAAAAACGGCACGTGTGGACACTGCGGCTTGGGCTCCCGAGCCGAAGGGGGCAGGCGGGCTTCAGACCCCGCGCTCCATCTCGAGCTGCTGTGTCCGCCCTATTTTTAGCACGCTAGCTTGAACCCCGCTAGCGGCTGTGTCTGCTCAGGCCGGAAGGCTCACTTCCAGCTGCAGAGTAGACACGTCCCCTAGAGCTCTCTGGTTGCGCCGGGCAGAGAGGTATAGCCCTTTAAGGAGTGCCAGAATGCTCTGCTACCCCCTGTTTCCCTCTGCAGCACCTGTGAGCTCTGTCCACCCCCCGACCCCCTCCCAGCTTCATGTGGGGCAAGCAGGGGGTCGGAGGGAGGAGATGCAATTTGGTAAGGGCCTCTTCTCTCCAGCTTGGGCAGGGAGTGCTGTTCTGAGCAGGAACTGCAAGGTACAGGCTCCTTCCTCCCTTCACTCTGCCCTATATGGCTGTGTAAGAGGGGGCCCAGTCTGGCCCTTTAAGAGACGGCACTGCTGTAGGAGAGCTCACACCGCTGGTGTCCTCTCTGGTGGAGCTATTTGCAAGGCTGATACGGGGAGCATCCAGCCAGGGCACTGCTATGTGGAAGCGCCTGCCAGTCTGACCCGGCATTGGCATGGCACTGCCGCTGGGAAGCCCGCAGCCACTCCGCACCTACCAATCCGGCAGCAGGAATTGGCATCACTGTGTGATCTTACTGCAGGGATGGAGGGGGTGGGTACCCTGAGTGCCACCAGCATGAATCCTGCTTTGTGTTTGTATCTCTCCCCTGCCCTCTGGGAGAGGCAGCCGTTCTGTCTCAGGGTGTTCCTTCCCTTCCGGCCGGTGGTATTTGGAGCAATTGAAAATACCCGCCTGGGCAAGGTATTTGGAGCAAGTGAAAATGGGCTGGTCTCTGAAGGCTGCAATCTGCAGTTCCCGTCTATAACACTTGGCGCTTTCTGGGCCGCGGAGTGGGGGGTGGGGGAAGGTTGACAAACAAAAACCCAGCCCTTGTGTCACTGCAAGACGTGACAATCCAGCTAGTTCAGACGAACCACGGGTTTCCTAGAAACCTTGCCGTGATTCACCCCCACCACCCCAAAACTGACCTCCTCCGGTTATTGACACAGGTTTCTCCTGCCTAGTGGGGTTATTTCTTAGTTCATTCAACGCTGTTTATTGGGCTATAGGCAGGTTCCCTGCATGTCACAAATAAAGAAGCCAGCCCTGCCCCATGGAGTCTGAACAACAAAGGGCAGGCAAGAGAGGAATGGGAGACCCAGAGAGGGGAATGGGCATGAACATAACATAAGAACGGCCAGACTGGGTCAGACCAAAGGTCCATCTAGCCCAGTATCCTGTCTTCCAACAATGGCCAATGCCAGGTGCCCCAGAGGTTATGAACAGAGCAGGTCATCATCAAGTGATCCATCCCCTGGCTCCCATTCCCAGATTCTGGCAAACAGAGGCTAGGGACACCATCCCTGCACATCCTGGCTAATAGCCATTGATGGACCTATCCTCCATGAATGTATCTAGTTCTTTTTTGAATGCTATTGTAGTCTTGGCTTTATAATGGCCTGGGTCAACAGGGTTCATTGAAACCAGTTCAGGCCTGTGAGGCATATGTGAAGTGGGACCGCAGGAGGTTAATCAACGCAGGCATACGGGAATGGCCCGATATCACAGATCTATCTCGGGGCGGGCAAATGCGACTAGGATGGGTGGTGGATAGGGCACTGGGATCAGACCCAGGACCATGCCGTGCAGTAGCCTGTCTGTGACACAGGTGGGGGCCGGGTGGCGCAGAGGAAGGTTTAGAACCCCCCAGCGGGCAGATGTGGGACAACCGACCCTCCCTCTCCCCCCGGGGAGGTCTCATGTAAAGCTCAAATTGTTCCTGTGGGTTAAGCCCTGACTTGCGCTGTGTAAGTGTTTAGCTCTCCCTCCCAGAGATGGCAGACGCCACCATAATAAGGACAGAGGTCCAAGCTGTGTCCTCACTAACACCCCTGAGACCCCACTGTATTGGAGAAGGCTGCACGGGTGTGTGCAAAAGCAAACACTGGTGTGCTTTGGAGGCCAATTCTCTCCCTAAGGACCTGTCTACACAGGGCTGGCCCATGTCAGCTGACTCAGGCTCGTGGGGCTTGGGCTATGGGGCTGTTTAATTGCTGTGTAGACCTTCGGGCTCGGGCCGGAGCCTGGGCTCTGGGACTCCTCGAGGGGGTGAGGGGGAAGGTCCCAGAAGGGAAGCCTGGGGGAAGTCTGGCTGGGCTACTTTTTTCAACCCCACCTTTCCAAGTATGTGAGACAATCAATCCCTTTATTCAGCTCTCCCTCACAGCAGCATAAAACAGGAATAACTCCCCTGGCCTCATTCCTGATTTTCAGCTGTGTAAATACCAGGGGAGCAGTTCCTTTCTCTTTCCTCTATTTGGGTCTCTGTCCATTCCTGCTCTTTGGATGCTGTCACGCTGTTACTTATCTGGCCCCCTTCCCTGGAGTATCTGGGCACCTCATAATCTTTAATTCTCACAAGTGCTATTAGCCTCCTTTTACAGGTGGGGAACTGAGGCAGAGAGAGACTAAGGCCCAGAGCCTCCGAGATAGTTAGGCTGCTAACTCCTAGCGAAACTAAA